GTCACCAATTTGTTCCTAGCCATGGGGGACATCCAGGGGATGGCGAGGTGATGGCAACTAAAAGTCCTCCTCAGCCCAGATAATGAGCCTTGAGTGTGTGTGTGCCTGTCTGTGTGCATGTACGTGCCTGTGTTCAAGCTGCTTGAGCCATATACCTGTACATTTCCCTGAGACTGTGACTGATAACTGTCTGGCACTTCATATTTCTCTACTGTAACTGGACAGAGATTTTTTTAATTATACAACTCTGAAAACACTATAAATTATTTAGCTTTCTGACCAAAAAAATTATAACCCAGGTCTAGCGTGGGTCCAAGACAGGCCTGTACAATAGTGGTTATTGGGGGATACAGAGTCAGACAGGACTGCTAGTTTCCCTTTTCCCTGACCTATGAAACCTTAAATGGGAAGCAAGAGAGTGAGAAGCTCCTGTAGACCTGACCTGATAGAACAGGGGCTATAACCAAACGTTTTAGGGTTGAGCAGAAAGAAAATTATGAAACCAAATGTGAAAACATTTTTTGTGCAGACAAACTCATCAACATTATCTGTTGTATCACAACTGTTGTGCATGTTCAAGCTGAATATGTACGGGGCCATTGAGATTAATTAAATAAATCTAGTATCTTTTTTTTTTATGAAGATATTTAGGGCATTTTCAAGAGAAATGTTTCCTTTTAAACAAGCTGCGGCTCTGGAGGCTATTTGAACAGTCTTGGTTAAATGAATTAGGTTTTAATAAATGCTGTTCGCTGTGTAGAGACGCAGTAAAGCTCTTTATAGTACAATCATAGCATCCATAAAGGATGGAAACAGAATGATTTGTAGTTCAGGACCGCCACTGTGTGGCACTTGGTGGTATTTGACTGTGTGTACATGCTTTCCTTTAAGAGCAGCCATAGATAATGCAGATTATAATCATGGCTGTATCCTTGACAAAAAAAATTTATTACACATTTTATATAAACTATATAAAACGTTTGTCCTTTAGCAGACCCGTTTATCCAGAGCTACTTACAGTCAGAATAAACCCACATAGAAAGAATAACAGTCCCTTTTAATAGTTAAATACAACTCCAAACATTTCCAAAAAATATTTCACACATAATTATGATATGGAAGGATACAAACATCCCTGTAAATCCTTACTTCATACAGAGCTAATCAGACAAGAACTTGCATTGGACACTAAATTATTGCTTAGTTAATTACAACTAGTCTGGAATCCAAACTGGTATGCTCTGTTTCACCAGAGTTAACGGAGCATATGTGTTTCCAGGCTAAATGACAAGGGGGAGAGTTAAGAGAAGGTAACCTGAATATTTCTGCTGATTCATTCACCTAGCACTAAGAACATGGCTACTCAGCTAACAGCAAGACCCGCCAGTGGAGGTGAGTGATCAGCTTTTTTACAAACCTTCCCCGTAGAGAACCTTCACAGCACAAAGGGATGCTGACTGACCGACCTGCATCCACAACTCCTATTCCTAAAAAACATGATTTAGAACATTCCTTAGAACCTTCAGAACTTCAAGGTAGGGTTTAGATTCTAGTATCATTCAGAAAATCCCTGATGATCAAACTTTGTCCAGTGCCACTGGTTCCATATGATTGTAAATAAATATATCTAAGACAGATGGCCCTTGTGTTGTCTTTTTTTGGTCATGAATGGATGAATTTCAACTCAAGTTATATCACTATAAAATCAATGATAAACCTGTAACAGTGAATTCATTATTTTCTTTCAATAATTCAGACAGATGCTTTACTTACTTCTGTAACAAAAAGGAAGCAGAAGCTAAGGTAAACACAATTGCCTCAAAACACAAGGGCAACTGCAGAGAATCTTAAAACATGCATATTGAGGATATTGAGTTTGTAAAGGCAAATGGATATGGATATTTACAGCAGTGGAGGCTCCTCAGAGGAGGACCATCCTTAGTGAATTTAATATAAATAGTGAAACAAAGTTAACCTTTTTAGATAAAACTATACTAAATATATTCACATCACCAAATAATTGATTAAAACAATGTTTTGCAATGGTATACAGTAGCCTCAGCTGCACTCTGTAGGGTAGCATCATGGTGTAGCCAGAAGACAGCTATCTTCTGTCCTCCTCTGGGTACATTGACTTCAATACAAAACCTAGGAGGCTCATGGTTCTCATCCCCTTTCACAGACTTACAGTGATTATGACAACTTCCGGAGGATGTCCTCCAACCTATCAGAGCTCTTGCAGCATGAACTAACATGTTGTCCACCTAATAAAAGGATCAGATAATAAATCTAGTACTGAAAGCATAAGCTATAGCTAGCTAGCACTGCAGTGCATAAAATGTGGTGAGTAGCTGACTCGAAGAGAGAGAAAGATAATAGTTGAACCGTTTTGAACAAATTCATTTCTTCAAAAATGAAGGAGAAGCAAGAGCGAGAGCGAGCTGGCTAGCTATATTTGGTTGTATTATTTGAAACTTCACTTAGCTAGCTGAATGCAGCTAGCTAGTTTAGCCTACTCAAACAGAAAGGGATAATATGTTAGCTAGCTGGCTATGGCTATCCAACACTGGAACTCTTTAAAGTCAAGGTAAGCTTTTGCTGCCGGTGTAACTGCTAAACTGCTTTCTGACTGTACTGCATGATTGTAGCTAGCGGGTTTATTACCGCGTTAGTTCTAGTAGCTATGTTGACTATGAGGTGACAACGATGTAGGCTGTGTGTAGTGGTCAGCGGTCATGATATGAAGGTGTTGTGCACTGAAGTCCAGAAGTGAAGGGAAAAAGTGAGAGGAGGAGAACGCATAGATAGTTGCGAGAAGGACTTATACACAGTGCATTCAGAAAGTATTCAGACCCCTTGACATTTTCCACATGTTACGTTACAGCCTTATTCTAAAATGGATGAAGAAAAAAATGACAAAGCGAAAACAGGTTTTTAGAATGTATTTACATAAGTATTCACACCCTTTACTATGAGACTCGAAATTGCGCTCAAGTGCATCCTAATTCCATCGATCATCCTTGAGATGTTTCTACAACTTGATTGGAGTCCACCTGTGGTAATTTCAATTGATTGGACATGATTTGGAAAGGCACACACCTGTATATATAAGGTCCCACATTTGACAGTGCATGTCAGAGGAAAAACCAAGCCTTGAGGTCAAAGAATTGTCCGTAGAGCTCTGAGACAGGATTGAGTCGAGGCACAGATCTGGGGAAGGGTACCAAAACATTTCTGCAGCATTGAAGGTCCAAGAACACAGTGGACTCCATAATTCTTAAATGGAAGAAGTTTGGAACCACTAAGACTCTTCCTAGAGCTGGCCGCACGGCCAAACTGATTAATCGGGGGAAAAGGGCCTTGGTCAAGGAGGTGACCAAGAACCCAATGTTCACTCTGACAGAGCTCCAGAGTTCCTCTGTGGAGATGGGAGAACCTTCCAGAAGGACAACCATCTATGCAGCACTCCACTAATCAGGCCTTCATGGTAGAGTGGCCAGACGGAAGCCGCCACTCAGTAAAAGGAACATGACAGCCCGCTTGGAGTTTGCCAAAAGGCACCGAAAGGACTCTCAGACCATGAGAAACAAGATTCTCTGGTCTGATGAAACCAAGATTGAACTCTTTGGCCTGAATACCAAGCGTCACGTCTAGAGGAAACCTGGCACCATCCCTACGGTGAAGCATGGTTGTGGCAGCATCATGCTGTGGGGATGCTTTTCAGCGGCAGGGACTGGGAGACTAGTCAGGATTGAGGCAAAGATGAACGGAGCAAAGTACAGAGATCCTTGATGAAAACCTGCTCCAGAGCGCTCAGGACCTCAGACTGGGGTGAAGGTTCACCTTCCAACAGGACAATGACACTAAACACAGAGCCAAGACAACACAGGAGTGGCTTCAGGACAAGTCTCTGAATGTCCTTGAGTGGCCCAGCCAGAACCCAGACTTGAACCCGATCGAACATCTCTGGAGAGACCTGAAAATAGCTGTGTAGCGACGCTCCCCATCCAACCTGACAGAACTTGAGAGGATCTGCAGAGAAGAATGGGAGAAACTCCCCAAATACAGGTGTATTTTAAGCTTGTAGCATCATACCCAAGAAGACTCGAGGCTGTAATCGCTGCCAAAGGTGCTTCAACAAAGTACTGAGTAAACGGTCTGAATACTTATGTAAATGTGATCCGTTTTTTTTTTTTTGTTTTATACATTTGCAAAAAATTCTAAAAACAATTTTATACATTTTAGAATAAGGCTGTAACATAACAAAATGTGGAAGAAGTCAAGGGGTCTGAATACTTTCCGAATGCACTGTATACAACGAGCAAAGTGATCATGCTGTTTTTATATGGCTGCTATGAAAGTGATCTGTGTTTGCGTGTGATCAGGGGTGTATTCATTCTGCCGATTCTGTTTAAAAACGTTTTTTAAATGGAACGGGGATAAACATACCTGAATTTGTCCAATAGAATCTCTCATTTGCAACTGTTGGACTAATGATCACACCCTAGATCAGCTAGATGCAGGCACGAGAGTTCACGGCGGTATTTAATGTGTTACTGTCTGTCACCTTGATTACTCAAAATTCATTCATAAACTAGGTTGTAGCAACCTCATGATGGGTGCAGGGACATTGAGTATCATGTAGTAGCCTAAACCTATCGATGTTACATTGAGCTGGGTAAATGGAATATGAATGACAGTCATCCAATATACTGTAATAGAAATAAGAACATGCTCATAAAAAAAATCTTCAAACGGCACAGACCGCCATTGATTTACAGGTGGGTTAAAAGTGAGCCTCGGTGGGTTATCGAGGAGATTCAAAATTCTGTTTTTCCTCCTGCAGAAATTCCAGTTGAAGAATTATGGATGGTTGGAGGAATTTCTCACAGCTTATTCCCTCCTGATTCCAGAAATCCTGAATTTCTTAAGAAAAAAACCCTGGTAATATTTGGAAAGTCTCAGTTATCGAAGTTAGAGGTGGTTGGTGTCTCAGCCACTCAGGGTGTAGGTGAGGTGGGTGTCTTGAAGAGGCCAGTCTTTCTGACGTGTCGTACAAGAAGAGGCACTGACATCAGAGTGATGCTGATACGGAGCGGAGCAAACAGCTTGTGGATGGCGTATGCCAGGACAAACGTACTTGTCCCTGCTGCCAACTTGGACTGAACCAGAGATTCACTGAACCCTATCTTGTACAGGATAGCAGCCATGTCGATCCCACTGTGGAGAGGAACACACACACACACACCAGAGGGAGCCATATAACTTTAGCACTGGATAGGATTTCATCATGGTCCTCAAAGCAATTGTTGGATATTGCTAACTTGTACCTCAAAGATGCAGACTATTGAAATACTTTATGAAGAAATAAACTATTAAGTAATGAATTGTATCAAAAGTTTCTAATTGCTCATCCCATTAGAATGCTGCTCTACACTCATCTAACTAAGTCTAAAATGGCTCCCTATTGCACTGCAATGTATTATCAGACCACTATAGGGAATAGGGTGCCATTTCAGAATGTCCCCATGTCTCTCCCACAGCAATTATGTGGTGTTTTAGTGAATTGTAGCACCGGGCGGGCCAATAGGGTGTTGAATCCAAGGGCCATTACAGCTATCAGGGGAGATCTGTGAGCTGGCTGATAATCTGGACTCAATCCCTCTGGTATTCAGCCTACTGGGCTGGCAGAGAGCCAGCAGGCAGGCAGTCAGTCAGAGATGGTGCTCACATAACCAGGCCATGGGTCCACGGCTACAGACAGTCTTACTAACAACAGCTTGGCCTACATTACACAATCAGTCGAGGACCTTCCCCCTATTGTCATTGGCACCTTCCAAATTAAAATGGCATGTGAAATGACTGAATGCAGTGTGCTTAAAGTGCTACAGTAGTTCACAAAATCAATCAAGATGTTTTCAGGCCTCAAACAGTTTGGGATGAACAGAGCCATGTCAACTGGGAAGACAAATGTAATGTTTTTGTATATGTGACAAATACTGTTGAAGTCTTGCAACATACAGTACCTGGACACAGCGAGGTAGAACATGCCCAGAGACATGAGGGACATACATATGTGGAAGGAGACTCCCACTGCTCCGTACTCTTTAAAGATCTTCTTCAGCTGCTGGGTCTTGCTAGGTTTGTCCTCCTCAGGCTCCGGTACCTTGGGCTCCTCAGGGCCTTTGGCTGAGGCCTCCTTTGGAGTCTGGTCCTGATCGGGTCAGAGAGAGAGATACATTTTTGTATTTATCCTTTAATTAAACTCAGGGAAGTCACATTGAGATTTACATCGTTTTCAAATGAGCCCTGGACGAGGAAGATCAATACTGGTTCCACATATAAAATAGTCTAATTCAAAAAGTAGTCATGAAATGTATGTGAAATGGAATTCTGCATTTGTATTAGTTGAGACTCAACTATGGGTTTGGTTGAGTGAGTCTAGAAAGTGAGAGTAAGAAGTGCGAGCCTCAGCCTATGATTCAGCAGAAAATAAACAAGCAGGTACCATCAATCAAATTGATATAGCCCCTTTTACATCAGCAGTTGTCATAATGTGCTTTTATCATACATATATGCATCATACATAGCCAATATGTTGAATAATAAGCCACAGCACCCTTCCCAACCATTCCACACACTATTCATTAAACCTGGGGGTCCTGACCGAGCCTGGGTACTGCAGACTCTATTGAATATTGAATCAGTGTACTACTGAGTCAGCTGATTAGATGGAGTCTGCCTGGAGAAGTGTTGTGTTATTCATGTAATCTACTGGGAGAGAAAGGAGATCGTCTGAGAGGCCTGTAGCTGATGGCAGGCGGGCGGGTGCTTCACTCACGAGACATGACGCGGGGCTGTGATTACTCTTTGTCTGTGAACCCAGGGCCACAGACACACTCAGATGAACAGGAAGGGAGATTAGACACTATCTGTAGGATGATTACATGTACTGCGGCATGCAGGGCAGCACACACACTTCCAGAGATTACATGTAGTAGGGGCAATAGAGCGTCAGCCTGTATTATTGGCATGGAATACAGACGTATTATAGGGTAGACATAGAGCTATAGTCAGCCCCATAAAGCAGCCGTGCTCCAATAGGTAAGAACCAAATAAGATGCAAATCATAAACACACAGAGGGTAGAAGCTGGAGTGTAATCTGGAGTGTACATTATTGTACCACTGCCAGTCAGAGTGAGAGTGGTGAGTGCTATGATATTGCCTGCTGAGTGTCACAGGGAGGCCAACAACTCATTCCAAGACCAATAGGAATCCAGGAGGGGCTGACATAGCAGAGTAGAAAATAACTAGCCACGGTCTGCATCAAGCAGACTCAAAATTTGGACAAATACAGAGTTTCTCTCTCTGGATAGATAGAGAAAGGCAATTCCACGGAAACAGAATGAGACTTTTCACTTTAAAAGTAAGCCAAACAAAAACTATTGATTGAAAAGTTAAATAAACCTCACAACTGTGCACAAGGACTAGTTTAAAAAATGTACACAGACATTTTTACAAAAACACGTTTACTCAAAGAACAGTGCAGATGTAAAATGTAGTATCAGAATGATGGTAAAATCTCCCTCAGTTCTTTATGTGACCAAGTTTTCCAAAAACAGTGTTAAATATCTACTCCGAATTATGATTAAAAGATACAGTGCATTTGGAAAGTATTTAGACCCCTTGACTTTTTCCACATTGTTACATTATAGCCTTATTCTAAAATTGATTTAAATGTCCCCCCCCCCCCTCCCCCCTCCTCAATCTACACAAAATACCCCATAATGACAAGGCAAAAACAGGTTTAGACGTTTTTGCAAATGTAAATATCTAATTTACATAGGTATTCAGACCCTTTGCTCAGTACTTTGTTGATGCACCTTTGACAGCGATTACAGCCTCAAGTCTTCTTGGGAATGACGCTACAAGCTTGGCACACCTGTATTTGGGGAGTTTCTCCCATTATTCTCTGCAGATCCTCTCAAGCTCTGTCAGGTTGGATGGGGAGTGTCACTGCACAGCTATTTTCAGGTCTCTCCAGAGATGTGTGCCAAAAGGCACCTAAAGACTCTGACCATGAGAAACAAGATTCTCTCATACAAAACGTATAACATCTCCTAAGCCTATGTTTACCACAGAACATATTTTTTTTGGCATTTATCCAAAAATTCATTTTCCTCATAGGCTTTGTCCAACGAACCATGGCGCAGTTAGTGTCTACAAAAAGACGGCCATTACTATTTCTCTCTATATGGCCGAGCATAACCGAACCAGAGCTGATAGAGAAGGGTGAAATTGCAGGCCGCAATTTGGGGTGTTCCTGCATTTGGGCATTCCTGCATTGGCAGGAACCCCTCTTCATACTTCTATTGATCCATTTTGAAGTTAGGACAGGAGGGATACGGGGGTTCTCCAGTAAATTAGGTGGTGTTAACGTACAATAATGTTGGATGCCAGCCGGCGATAAACCCCACAGAAGAAGGGGCGGGGGCGTAAACGGTAGCTAGCTAACCATACACCGGTAGGCAGTGTCCTTCGCCCCCGCATGTAGGGCACTGTTTTCCCACAGTTCTGTTATCGACGGTGAGGGCAGGTGATCGGCAGGCGGGGACCAAAGGACACTGTGTGCTAACTTAGCCAGTTAGTCCTAAGGAGGACTCCGGTACACAGCCGGCGGGGGCGACACTGTGTGCTAGCTAACTAACTAGCAAGCACACAGTGTTGCTAACTATCAAGCTAGTTAGTACACGCTGTCACCCCAGCCTCCCGCCTGCTATGCTAGCGGGAGGCGGGGGCGACCGCTAGACAATGCCCTTTGGCCCCGCCTGTCTGGCACCGTTTTCCTGCAGTTCTGTTAACGACGGTGTGGGCAGGTATTCGGCAGGCGGGAGCGAAGGACACCGCTAGCTAGCAAGGAAGACTCTGGTAGGCGGGGGTGAAGAAACTCAGATAATACTTCTATTCCCCTTTTGACCCATATTCAAAAGAGGAAATGGGGGGGGTCATGCAGGAACCAATGGGATGTTCGAGGGGGTGGGGTCAACTAAGTTTGGTTACATTCAGCTATTGTTGCCATATTGTGCGTGAAGAGATTGAAAATACTAGTGACAGAACCAACCAGCACCTCAAAAAATAGGGTAAACGACCCTTTCCTTTGGATACCCTATCTCCACCTCCTACCGCCAAAAGGACCAACAGCATGCACAACCGGTAGAGTAAGGGTAAATATAAATGCATTGAACATTCTGGATTGTAACGTTAGAGACTATTGCGTCTTTTTTACGGTGGACTTGGGTAAGACTGATAATCCATGGAGTAACCATGGTAGCAGTCTGACATTTAGACAACTGCAACAGTTGACTAGACCCAAAATCACAGCCACAGGGTTTAGAGTCGCAATGTTTGGCATAGCTAAGTGGGGCATGATTCAGTGGTGGAAAAAGTACCCAATTGTCATACTTGAGTAAAAGTAAAAGACACCTTAATATAAAATGACTCAAGTACAAGTGAAAGTGGTCCTCTGTAGCTCAGCTGGTAGAGCACGGCGCTTGTAACGCCAAGGTAGTGGGTTCGATCCCCGGGACCACCCATACACAAAAAAAAATGTATGCACGCATGACTGTAAGTCGCTTTGGATAAAAGCGTCTGCTAAATGGCATATTATATATTATTTATTATATTATTATTTATATTTATATATTTATTTATTTATATATATTTATAAAGTCACCCCTTAAAATACTACTTGAGTAAGTCTAATAAAAGTATTTGGTTTTAAATATACTTAACCAACAAAAAAATAATAATCATCCAACAGTTTCAGAGAGAATCGAACAATGTGCTTTCTCTCTGGGTATGTAGCTAGCTAGCTAACGTCATCGGCCAGAAAGTTGAAGTCAGGAGAGGGAACAACGAGCAGAGGTGAGGACATGGGAACGAACCGATTTGACACGCTAGTTTACTGGCTAGACACTATTCTACTGTCAGAATGGCAGGTAAGTGGGCAAAAATATTGCAAAGACTGGGAAAGAGAACCAGGTATAATGGAATGGATTAAGAGCATCCCAGGAGATAACAGAAAGGTTTACTGTAGGTATTTCTCATGCACAAGCAGAGAAACACAAAAGAGATGCTACTCCATTTTCTAATGCAAGAACATTGTTTGAAACTACATTTGTAAGAGATAATAACACAGTTAAACGATCAGAGTTACAGATGGCTGCACATATTGCATGCCACTCCAGCATTGCAACTGTAGATCACCTGGGATGTGTTGTTGAAGATACTGCAAAGAAAGGAATCAATATCCACAGAACAAAATGCACAGCGCTCATAAATGCAGTTATAGGGCCTGCAGTGCATGAGGAACTAATAAAGGACATTGGGAATGAGTCTTACTCATTGATTATTGATGAAAGTACTGATGTCACAACCAAGAAGCAACTGTGTGTGGTGATAAGATACCGAAGCAAGAAACTCTGAAATCATAAGGACATCTGGAGGAATAATCAACATTCCACCTGGTTATTCACGGACCATTGCCAATGCCATGTTCAAGTTTCTTAATGACAATAAAATGCACATTGACAACAGCATCCGTCTAGCCACAGATGGCAGCAATACAATGTGTGGCAAAAAACAATTCTGTACTGACAAAACTTCAAACACTGAATCCGAATATCGTTTACATTAAATATATGCGTCATTCCCTGCAACTCCAAAGCAGTGAATGTTCTTCCACGAAATGTTGAATATATGACTTGTTTCAGGAAACTAGGCGTATGTCATGCGTCACTACTTCACAGAAGGGCCATTAGAAAGTTGCGATTTTTTGGCAGAAATGCCTTCTGGAACATGTGAACTTTCATGTGCCTTAATAACAAACTTGTATGCAATCTGTAAATACGAATAAAATTGTTAAATTACAAGCCTAGTTGGTTTAGCCATGGAAAAAGACAGCAAGCTTCCCGCTAACCATGATTGGCTGAGATAATGAGTGGGCTGGACATGCCAAGAGATGAGTTCGGATTAGTCTGCCATGTAGTGCGCTTCTGTCTATAAACATGAGCTGGTCAGTATGTGTAGGTAATCCTGGCTTTTTTTAAAAGATATCACGTAGTAGAACTACATAAGTGTTGCTCTCCACTTTCTGGAGGACCAAGTTTTGAAATCAGTGTAATTAGAGTATGATAGCAAAGGAGACAGAGACA